TTGAAGAAAATGTATACAATGTAGTGCTTTACGTTAGAAATGTGATACATACTCTTTCATTTTTTGTTCACATTTTCTCCAAAACCTTAAATACGAAAAAGAGCCGAAACTGAGCTTTTGATCTTGCACGCATGTAAGAAAACAAGGAACCTAAAAACTGGTATTACTCCTCCAAATTTTTAGCGGGAAAATCGCTAACTCGGGAACCAGAAAGGCTAGGAAATTGAAATTCTAACAGAATATCTCCTTTTCAAGTTAAAATGGTAGTCGTACGATTAACATTCTGAAGTTCTAAGGCCAGTATGTTATAAATTCAAGCTTTTGTGATTCCAAGCGATCTTACTAAAGCACGAAATGCTGCAAAAACATATGATCGTGCGGGCCTGCCCGATGCGCGTCACCAATGACTTATTTATGTAGAAATGCATAAAAGCAGAATTTCAGCATATTTCTCAAAAAGAAGTGTCTACTCTTACTCCTTTTTATTTTTTTTTTTTTTTTTTGTTTAGTACCGAGTTCAGTCTTTGAAAATTACACCCGTATGTATAATTGTTCTATAATGCACGTACCCAAAAACAAACGTAGTCAGAATTGCGCATTTATGTCTCATAAGTCTGTCTGTAAAAAGAATGGAGGACTTAATCGTGCGGCGAACCCGTCAAAACATACAAATGGGAAACAGAATTTCCGCAGCAACCACTTTTGTACACTGTATGACTTTCCAAGATAAATGCACGAGCATGAAATAGTGAAAGAACTTGATACATACAGACACGATGCTTGTAGGCGATGTCGGGCAGATCGTCGGGATGCACATAACTATACCATGATTTACCTTCAGTTTCTTCGTTGCTATATCCTAGATAATGTGAAGCCCTGCAAGCATCCCGATAGGCTGCAAACAAATTTTACCCAAAAAACTGATTTGGGATCTAAGTTACTGGTTATAAGGAAATCAAGAAATTTAGGGCTGCAGGCTCGAGCACCAAAGTAACCTTCAAGACTCAACTGTACAAGAAATACCATTAACAAGAATATCCTAACCACGAAACGAACCATAATTCCAGACATACCCTAGCACTGTACGCTTAATTTACATGATGCATCTAGCAAATGAATTGTTGCTCGCAAATAACAGTATTTTAAGAAAGTCGCTGCTTTTGGAACTACTTGGCAAAAAGGTTAAAACTATTCTTAAGCAAACTGGTCTGTCAAAAATGAGTTAAATTATTTTTGGAAGCTCTGAAAGAAGAAACTAAAACGTTAGCTTAATGCAAACCTTTGATTTAGACTGCTTTTTTAAGCCTTAGAGCTTTCTTCTTCAGTAAAAAAAAAAGTAGGACCTTGGTAATTTTTGAGAAACAGTTAGATTTCACTGAAAAAAAAGGATACTATGGCA